GGAGCGGGGCGGCCTGTCTGCAGAGAGCGGGGCCGGGCTGCGCGCCGACGGTCTGGGGCCGACCCGGAACGAGGAAGGGCCCTGCAGGGCGGGCGGGCCGCAGAGCAAACCTTTCCTCCTCCGCCCTGGGCAAACTTCCGCGAGCCGAGATGCCGCCCTCGCCCGCCAGCCCGGAGAGCCTCCCTAGTCAGGGGCAGTCAGCCCCCGCCCGGGTCCAGCGCAATCTCCGGGGAAGGCCCCAGGGCCGTTGGGGAGCCCTCCAGCTGGCCAGGAGGTTCCCCCCAGGCTTCTCCTGTGGCCCCCCCCCCCCATTCAGAAAAGCCAGCTGGGGAGTCCCTGGACTTCCCCGGTGCTGCTCCCTCCAAGCTGCGGAGTCTTGTGAGCAAAAAACTCCACTTGGTGAGCTCCTGGCATTAACGCTGTGAGCCTGCGGTTTGGCTATACTGCAACAATCAGTTTGAGCCGGAGGCTAAAAAACTGGGAGCTGGCTCACACTGACTGAGCTTAGAGGGAACACTGCTGTTTTCACGACCTCGCGACCTTCAGGAGCCATCCCGGCCCCGGGCTCCTCTTCCCTCCCATCTATTGGCAAGGCTTGCCTTTCTGGGAGGCCAGGGGAGGCCAAGTTTGTTCCTGGGGTGTGGTGCAGCACGGTGCCCTTTCTCGGCTGGACCTGTGCCAGTTTCCTTTCCGCTGCTGGCAGGGGAGAAGGCCTGGTCCTTTCCAGAGCAGCCCCCCACCCCAGTTGTCCCTGCTTGTATGCTGGGGCCAGCCCAGCCCACCCCCACCTTAACCCCCTGGGGCTGCCGGCTCTGGCACGGCTCGGGCGCTCCTCGGAGAGGCTGCCTGTCCGGGTCACAGACGTGCCGGAACCAGCACCACGCCCGGGCCTCCTCGTGCCGGGAGGACCCGACAGCCAGCCAGGCACACTGCCACCCAGGGAGCGTCTGCCCTCTCAAGCAGCCGCCAGGGAACCGGCTGGGCCCGTCCGGGGAGGAGGCGGATCCCAAACTGGTTGGCCCGGCCGAAGGACGAGAGTTCTGCACCTGATCCTGGGCGACGCCACTGCTGCGGTGGTGGCAGAGGCTGCCCATGAGCGTGCAAGGAGCCTCCCTGGATCCAAACCCGGGTCGCTCTGGTCCAGTTTCACTTCACGCCTCCCCCCAAAGGTCAAGCCTCCCTCTGTTGTTACTCCCAAGCCAGACTTTCTGAGAGCGCTGTGCCCAAAGGCCTGAATGTACAGCAGGTGAAGCTTTTTCCACAGCATGCTGGCCCACGCTTCCCCTGTTAGGTCTGCCGCCTGTCCCACAGCCAAGCAGGACTGGGGTGGGGCTCTTCATGCCCAGAGACCTTAAGGAGAAGGGGAAAGGGGCGAGGGTGAGGCTCCGCCCAACCTTGTTTCCCAGAGGATGGTTCTGCTTTATTTATTTATTTATTATTTATCAGAGTTACGTGCCGCTCTTCGCACAAGTGGGCTCAGGGCAGATTACAGAGACATTCGGCATCGCCATATATAAATGCACTAATACAATGTAAATGCATAAATAATTAAACCAAAAGAGTCAAGGACAGTAATTTAAAACTGATTGCACTATTTGTTTGTAGCCGTCATCTCCAGAGCTGGTGTCGGTAGGCCTCTGGGAGCCAGTTTGGTGTAGTGGTTAAGTGCATGAACTCTAATCTGGGAGAACTGGGTTTGATCCCCCACTCCTCCATGTGCAGTTGCTGGAGTGACCTTGGGTCAGTCACAAGTTCTCTCAGAGCTGCTCTTGAAAGGTCAGTTCTCTTAGAACTCTCTCAGCCCCACCTACCTCACAGGGGGTGTCTGTTGTGGGGAGGGGAGGTGCTCTGAGACTCCGAGTGAAGGGCGGGGTATAAATCCAATCTAATCTGGGAGAACTGGCTTTGATTGTCTGCTTCTCCTCCACATGCAGCTGCTGGTGTGACCTTGGGTCAGTCACAAGTTCTCTCAGAGCTGTTCTCTTATGAGTAGTCCTTGAAAGAGCTCTCTCAGCCCCGCCTACCTTCCAGGGTGTCTGTGGTGGGGAGGGGAAGGGAAAGGAGACTGTAAGCCGCTCGTGAGAGTCTTTTGGGTAGTGAAGAGTGGGGTATAAATCCAACCTCCTCCTCCTCCTTTTTCTTCTTCTTCTGAGGTCTGCTTGATCTAGGGAGCGACAGAGCGGGAGGCTGGGGGGGGGGGATTGCGCTTGCGTGTGGATGTCCGTGTACACAGGTGTTGCCACTTTCTGGGGCCTGTGCACGGGCTGCCAGGGCTTCACCAGACGTGCCCCATTTCTGTTCCAGGCCCCTGATGCCGCTCTTCGATCTCGACACCGGCCTTCTGGTGCTGATGGGGAAAGTGAGTTGTGCCAGACTGGCTTGCATGCCTTCCCTCCTCTCCCCTTTTCCACACGTGGGCAGAACTGGGAAACGCCCCCCCCCTCCCTCTTGCGGTCTCCCACCCGAGGGGCTCAGGGTGCCTCGTGCCTTCCAGGGGGAAGACGTGCTCTTCTGCTACGAGGTGCTGCCCGGCCAGCCGGCCCTGACAGAAGGTGGGTGTCCAGGACCCTTTTTGCTCAGCTTCCCGTGGCTCCCTGGGCCTGGAGGGAGTTCTTATCCATTAGAGGCAGCCCCTTCTCTGGTGCCCGCCCGGAGGGAGGGAGGGAGGGAGACCCTCTGAGCAGACCAGTCCTGCCCGCCCAGGAGAGAAGGGGGTCACTTGGGCAACACCTGGCTGCCAAGAGGGCTGGGCACGCGGCCGGGGTCCCCCTGCTGAGCTCCGGCTGGCCGAGAGGCAGCCGAGACTCCTGTCTGCCGGCATTCTTTGTGCCAGCCTCTGGGGCTGGGCAGTGGGCACATTCTCCGAGCAAAGAATGAATCCTCCCCGGCCGGGGAAGAGAGGGAGCTTCCAGGCAGGTGCTTGCTGGAGCTGGCAGGGTGGGTGGTTGCCCGACGGCTGCCTCCCCGGGGGGCACCGCTTGCCACGCCCGCTGTGCTCTTCTCTAGTCACCCAGTGCCGGACCGAGAGCAAGGCCCACGGGATCGCCCGGGTGCCCAAGCTGGCCCTGGACGTCCTGGCCTGCGAAGTGATCCGGGTCCTGCAGCTCACGGACGGCGCCATCGTTCCCGTCAGCTACACCGTGCCGCGGAAGGTAAAGACGGGGGTGGAGGGGGAGGCCACACCGTGGCATAGCGATGTGGCTCTGGCTGCGCATACCGACCGGGCACGTGTCTTGCAGTCCATGCAGGAGTTCCACGAAGACTTGTTCCCCCGCAGCGCTGGAAACGTCCCTGCGGCGTCTGCTCGGGCCTGGTGGGCGGGAGACGATAGCCAGGTGAGAGTGAGGCCCAAGGCGGCACCGTGCCCCTCAGAGCACGCGGGGTTCCCGAGAGGGAGGTGGGGGCAGGCTGAGAGGTGGAAACCCCCCCCACACACCGATGAATGCCCCTCCTCAGAGGCTGCAGCCGCCCTGAGACAGACCCCTTTCCCCTGCCTCTCGGGTCAGTCACGAGTTCTTTCGGAGCTGTTCTCTCGAGGGCAGTTTTCGAGAGAGCTCTCTCAGCCCCACTTACCTCACAGGCAATGTTCCCTCTAAACTGTGGAGTCTTGTGAGCAGAAATCCTACTTTGTGAGCTACCGGAATTAAAGCTGTGAGCGAGCGGTTTGGCTGCTGCATAAATTTGCTTGCTCTGGAGCAATGCACCCTCTAAGCTGTGGAGTCTCGTGAGCAAAAATCCTACTTTGTAAGCTACTGACATTAATGTTGTGGCTTCCGGTCTAGCTAAGATGGAGGACTGAAGCGTTTCGCAATCGTGCGAAGCGAGCGACGGCCACTTTTGACAGTTTGGGCAATATACAGCCCAACGCATCACTCCCCAGCGAGGGGGGGGGACAAGCAGGCAGCAGCGCCCTAGAGGGAGTGTGAGGTTGGCGTAATCCAGCTTCGGAAGAAGCTGAATTGGGCTTTGACCTCCTCCCACGAAGAAGGCAAGTGCCAAGCAACTCTATAGTGGCCGATCGAGCCGGGCTACCGGCATAAATTCTTCGTCAGCAGACTTCTTTGAAGAAGGACAACAACTGTGAGTTAAAAGAAACAATGCGAAACCCGTTTTGAACGTGCTAGATAACAAAAACGTGCCGCTTACCTGAACTGAGTTTGGAGTCAATTTGAATTAAGCGGTTGAGCGGAAAATGAATAGTAAATCCCAGAAATCCGATTCCGGAGAGAAAAAAGTTGATTGAAGCCTTTAAAAACTGTAAAAACGCTTATTGTTTAACATTCCTGTGGTGAAGATGGAGCCGTGTGCGCAACTGTAAAATCGAAACTCACGAACAATAGCGTGGGAAGAGCAGGCTGGTGTCACAAAGAAAGAGGTCCGTGTGAAACATCCAGGAAGTTGAATTCCTAGACGGGCATTAGCGAAAGGAAGACAGTGGAACTTTTAAAGGTGCCGGACCGGAAGTGAGTTGTATGCGGAAGGAAGGGCCTGCAAAGTATCAATTTGACCTACTCTACATGAAATTACCATAGAGAAGTTGCGCCCGACATTTTGAGGAGGACTTCAACTAAATTTGCTTTTTTAATATATTTCTAAGGGTCTTTGGAAAGCGTAAACAGAGAGGCATGGAGGACTAAATCTTATCATCTAGAAGAGTGCTTTATTTTGCGAATCTGTGAATTGGAAAGAAATCGCCAAGACGGAGACCAGGAGAGGCAAGAAAAGAGCCGACTCAGACCCAGAACTTAAACC